TGTAGGAAGATGTTCCACCATCAACTGTAGTAAGATGTTCCACCGTCAGATGTAGAAAGATGTTCCACCGTCAGCTGTAGTAAGATGTTCCACCATCACGTAGAAAGATGTTCCACCATCAGATGTAGAAAGATGTTCCACCATGATGGATGTATCTCCAACATCTGGCTCCTCTGTTCTCTGTTTTTGCTTCATTTTACTGGAGAATGCTCTTTATTCTGTAGACTAACAGATTTTGTTCTCTCAGGAGTATTTTTTACTTGTTTTTTGGTGTTTTTATTAAATCAGAACACTTCTGATTAACTCTTTGTGTCTCTCTGCTTCTGTCTTCGTCCTCTCAGCTCTTCGAGGTCTACACCAACAGGGCCACGCTGCTCAAAGACTCCACGGACTTCGTGGTGTCGGTGAATCCCACCGGCGTCGTCATGTTTTACGTCTCCGCGCCCGCCGACACAAACCTCCGTCACTTCCACAGCGACGGGAAACTCCAGGGACCGTCCTCGTACGAAGGCGAGGACAACTCTCTTCCTGGTGTCTTCCTCTGACCTGAAGGCTTCTTATAATCACTGTTTCATAGGAGGGTTTGATTCGATTGTGGAGGTTTATTTCGATTTGACGCCGAGTGCAGATGAATAGCTGGATTTTTTAAAAAGTGCCTTTTACTTCACGCTCAGGGACAGAATCACTAATTTGACTTCAAAGTTGAAAAACAGAAAAAAAACAAACAAAAAAAAGCACTTCACTGACACATTTAAAGGGACGCTCTGGTTTTTCAAAATAATATTTGCGTTTCTATGAATAAAGGATGATTGTCTGTCTGTCACTGCTCAGGAAGCTGCTTCAGAGCGAATGGTTTTTATATGACATGAGTTTGAGAATTTTGTGGTTTTTTGCTTTGAAATAAACATTTTCTTCAGTCGGACAGACGTTTGTGTTTCATTGTTTGTTGTTCAGGTGAAGCTGAGTGTAAATGCTGGTTTTTGTGCTTCTTGTGGTGATTTATAGTGAATTTGTATTTGATTAATAATTGTTTACCGGCTGGAAGTGACATGAAAATGGACAAAAGACAATCTGGTGTTGTGTTAAACAAGCTGTTGAGCTTTTTCTAAAACTGTCGTCACCAAAACGGTTCAAACTGTCTGAATGATCGAAGCCTTTAATCGCAGCTTCATCATATTTTAAACGCTAACAGGCTTTAGCTCGCTAGCAGCTCCACAAACAATTCAAAACCCACAAACATGAAAACGGTAACGAGGTGACGAGACACAGGTGAGACTAA